TGTCGGGAATAGAAAAAGTCACAAACACTCAGGTCAGGTAATTAAGGAGCAGCAGGAATTTGTTGTTTCTGGTCAAAAGTTTGTTAATTGAAATTGCTGTGTGACAAGCAGAATTATCGTAATGCAACCCAGTTTTTTCGAAGAACCTCCCAGTAAGAGTGGTTGATTGACCGTTTGACCTTGAAGTAGAAACTCTTTTTGGACGATTCCGTGAATATCGAAAAAACAAATCAGTATGCATGCACCTTCGACGTCCTCACCATTGCTTTTTTTTGTTTTGGAAAGGCAAAAACATCCGAGATTCGTCACCCGTAATGACACGTTCTAGAAAATGGGTGTCCTTTTGGTCTCACGAAAGGATTTTTGGTATCATTTTTGAGCAGATTTTTTGTCATCCCCAAATTCGTTGGTTAAAATAGGATAAACTAGTCAAATTCAACTCTTCCCGGACCATTCTGACTGTCAACCGATGATCTGAAAGCACAAAATCCCGGATTCTGTTGACATTTTCATCGGTTCTTGAAGATGAAAGCTTTCCACTTTGTGGGTCAGTTCCAAAAACTTGGAGTTTTCACAAAACACTACGCCGGGTGAAATTTAGCAACAGTTTCCGTTGATTTTTTCCGTACGAGGAGTTTTTTTTAAGTGTAAAACGCTATAGGTGAAGAAGCATTGATGACGCTTCTGGTTGAATAGCACTAATTTTCTTGGTGAATCTTGTCTCGAATATGGAGTATTGGAGTTGATGATATTCTTTCAGTAATTGTAGACAATATTAAAAATCACTATGAAGATATAACGACAGGACTATTTCAAAGATGAGTCAGGAGTTGTTTCCTGTTAAACATTCCTCGGAATAGCATGATTTTAATACAAAGTGCAAATTCGTGTATTCTCTAATTCCAAACTTAAAATTGAATTGAATTGAATTGAAAATTGTTCCACTCAAAAATGTGAATTTTAGTGTGGTGTTACAGCATTGTATAAGAAAAATTTTATACCTACATAAATATTTGTCGATGAAAAGTAATCATTGTTAATACAAAAATGAGAGGAATAATTTTAATCGATGTGAGTGACTTAATTAAGTGATATCATTACTAACGAGTTTTATATTCTAATGGATGTTCAAAATGCAAACACCATATTTTTTCCCTAAAATTGAATTACACTAGGTCTTAGATAAGTTCTGAAAAATTCAGAATAAGGAATAATTATTTTTTGTGAAATAAATAAATTTGAAATTTTAAAAATAAAAACTTCCTGGCGTATCCTTCATTTAGAACCCCGAATATTTATTAGCTCCAAAAGTCGAACCAACGATGTAAGCGCACCTTTTGGATGTGACATTTACGGGTTTTAAATTAAATGATAACGATTCCGGTCCAAAGAGTCCCGCCCACGCGTTATACGTTCATTCGAACATTTAAAAACTATAACTCCGTAACAGCCAGCCAGCAGCACCTTTCACGCCCGTAAAGACTGTCCGAACCCATCTAAATGAGCGATCTAAAATCCAAACGGCTAGAGCTCGAAAGACAATTTGCCATAACTCGTCCGCAGCTGCAGCAGCGGCATTGTGTAAAATCTGATAGGCCGCCATTTTTTCGAATTCCTATTGAAATTGATAAGAAAATGAAAGCGTTCGCTATTGCCAAACCGAGTATCGATTAATTTAAATGTTGAACTAGAGATGGCGCTGATAAAACGTTTCTAAACAGTGATACAGGTTAGGATGGTTCGTAGCAGTGGAGGGATAAATATATAAGATGGATAAATCAACAATGACGCGAGTAGCGAGATGATAAGGAAATAAGGATGATGGGAGGAGCAAAAGTTGAGTCTAAAGGATTAATTTATTGGATTATAAACTTTACTTAAATCCAAGCTCCAAAAAATTGATTAATAATATAAATATATAAAAGTAATAGCAGATTACGAATGCTATAGCATAGCATGTGTTAGCAAGAAAGAACTAAAGATCAATATCTGGGAGAGTTAGCAGTTCGCCTGTAGTTCTAGGTTGGTATCTCTGATTACATTCCACAGCGTCGCTTTCTGACTTCTGTTGTAGCTTAGCTGTAAATTCGGCCGATGGACCTCTGAGAATTTCTTGAGCTTTCTTTGTGGAGCTTCTTTTAAATGAGTTGGAGTGTTGTTATAGTATTTTTGAAGATATCTGGTTCTGACTATAACTGCAAGGCCCTGGATTTTGAGCCTGATAATACTCGAGACGTTCTGGTATGTCTCTCTACCATTTTCGGTATTCTCAAAGTCTATAAGTGTTATGATGTACACAGAAAGTGTCACAATTGATTGTTTTAAAACCGCAGAGCATTAGTTGCTTATCAAGGAAAAGGACTGACTGTACTTGCCAACCTGCATAATCAAACATACCTCTTGACATTTGATCCAACTTGGATAATATACACATAACTCGTCACCAGTTATTACCTTTTTGAGCATCTTACCATTTAACAGCTCTTGAGCGATGCTCCTTCGACGGCCTTTTTGTTCAAAAATAAACAGTTTCGGAACAAATTTTGCTACTACATTGTTCATGCCCAAAAATTCGGAAAAAATTACGAACTTCTTGAAACTATGAACATATGTTAGGGACAGTTGTACCAACATAAAATTGAAATCGAATGTACATAGCCCGCCCAATTAGAAAAGTCATCTAACTTTTTTGACACACCTCGTATGTATTCCGGTTTCCTCTTAAATTTTACTTACTTAATCCAATTGCGCTGGTATGGGCACAGGTAAAACGGACTGCCTGTAGTAAATTAATTTTTTCAAGCAGCGATATTAAATGAAAAAAATGAGTAATGAATAAAGTTGAATATAGACAATATTTCGAATAGTTACTCGCCTTATAGTTGATGTTGACAAATCTGATTTTGATTAGTATTGACAACTTATCAAAATTAAATTACCTGTGTTTTCGTTGCTGTAGTCTCAATGTGATTTTTCAGTCTTGTCCAGTTTTTATTTATATATGAAGAGCACTAATTTTAATTAACTTACCAAAATGAAGTAGTCAGAAGCAGAAAAATTTTTGTTGTTTAATTTAAGGTGCCTTGAAAATGTTGTTGTCTTTAAAATATAAACCATAGTAGTTGGAGAGTAAAATCACAGTTTTTGAAAATTTTTGAAATTTCGTTAAACTGCTATGAATGACAAAACGGATGGTTTAACTAATTTTAAAATTTTATGTAATTATTGTCAAAGTAGGATGATTTAGGCAATTGCTAAGTAGCTAGTTATTAAGCGGTCGATCAAAAAATTGAATTTCGTCAGGAGGTCTCGTTTAATCAAAACGCCGTTGCACGCGAAATATCAATTTCCAAATATTAGACCGGAATATTACTACGACAAAAAACGTCATTGGAAGATTGCTTTTGTAACCGCAAAATTGCATCACTTGTTTTTATTAATCTCGTTTTCGCGCTCTGTTGTTATTCGCGCCATTTTTAAACGCAATTCATTTGTATTTACAGGGCGGCCCACGCAGACGTTTCAGCATTGTTGTGCATCCGACCCGGCTTCTTAGTGACGGAAAATTTATGGAATATACTTAACGAAGAATCATCACGCCATATTTTTCGACCAGATATCGCCCGTAGCGTTAAATGGCCGCTTACCCCGACCACCGAGCTAGCCAGATCTGTTTCCTATCGAGGATAAATAAGATGAGATAAGCATAAATAACAAGAATGAAGAATGAACAATGAGCACGCTCGAGCGCAAGTAACATCACCCTATAGTTATTAATCACGATATATTTTATAACAGTTCGATTTGCAAATGCTGCGGTAAATAAGCATATTATATGCAAACCGACGCAGATTCATGTTTTTACCTGTTTCGCTTAAAGTGTATTAACGTCGCCATCGGTTTGCGGTAATTACATACGAAACAGAAACTACTTTCTGTCTGATATATGGTAGCGTATTGATTTTTTATACGATTCGCCATAAAGTAAGCGGTATTCCGGCGAACTTTGCATGTCATAAATTTTAATTCGATTTAGATTCAGAGAAAAACGCACAACGCTACGCTCTAGCCAATAGTGATACGAATTTCCATATTATTTTTAGAGGTCTCCTTGAATCCTACCTTGAACAATTAACGAACTAATAATTTGATAACGGGAGGAAACTGCAAATTAACTGAAATTATTTTACGTGAATGCGTATTTAGTATTATTTGGAATTACTAATTCATAATTTGTTATTATTCTAATTTATTTATTGTTTCCAGAAAGAATACATTTTTCAATAACAAGCGTGTGAAATTGTAGCAATAAAACAAAAGGAATAGAAGAAGAGAAATAAAATTCTAGCCTTTTACTCTCTCTCTCTCTCTCTCTCTCTCTCTCTCTCTCTCTCTCTCTCTCTCTCTCTCTCTCTCTCTCTCTCTCTCTCTCTCTCTCTCTCTCTCTCTCTCTCTCTCTCTCTCTCTCTCTCTCTCTCTCTCTCTCTCTCTCTCTCTCTCTCTCTCTCTCTCTCTCTCTCTCTCTCTCTCTCTCTCTCTCTCTCTCTCTCTCTGTAGGATATGTCAACATTTATTGTTTCCCTAGGTTTTGTTGAGTGTCCGTAAAATTCCTGGTTCCAGAAAAATATATTTATATAATTAAATTTCAGAAACAGTCTGTTCTTATTTAAACCCTTAACACAAAAATATATTTGATGGGGTTAGAAATTGGGTAAAGGTTTAAGAGATGCTTTTTAGTTGAAATAAAGAGCGCAACAAACACCTGTGTGAGTGAGCTTTGTTTAGATTGTACTTATCGGAAGTAGCAAAGAACATAATTTTTTTTGGTCATTTGTTCTTCAGATTGTATAGTGATAGCCAATAGTTTCAATAAACGATATATTACTATTACCAAAATTAACAATGTTGCAGCATTCATCACAATCCAAAAACTTCATGCAGTCATCTCTGTCCCCTAATTCGCTAATAAGTATTGTATTCTTTGTTTTTTATTCGTTGATTTTTCGGTGAATTTTTTGTAGGCATACAGTTTTTGTTTTCCTTTCGTTTAGTTTTCTCAATATTCTTAGTAGTAACATGCCTTTCTGCACTGTCCGGATGGCTGCCAATATATTCTGAACCGTTCAATTACGTCTTTGAGGACAAACCATTATATCTACTACGGACGAGGCATTTATACCATAAGATTGTAAAAGACGCCCATCGTACAGTTTGAAAAAAATGCGTAACTTAAAAAAATGACATAAAATTTTCAGAAAACAGACGAGAAAATGAAACACTTTTGCCACAAAATGTACACAATGGACCAGCGGATAAACTACACTATCGTACTACACAGCTTTGACCTCCTGTCTTTGCATGCCTTTGTTTACACTCTTTTGGAAAGTTTGCAATAATAAACCTGATTTTAGATGTTACTTTTCGCACCGGTGAAGTGAAGCCTTTTCGACTTTGAAAATTGCTGAATTCATTCATAACCTTTATGTTGATAAAATATTTTAAATTTAGCTATGTATATAAATAATAAGGAACAAAGAAACGTCTATTGGGACCATAATAATAGATTCAAATCCACACGGCCCGTTAAATCCTGCAACCTCACGCACTGATTCGATAAAAATAATGCCACCGAACCCATTAAAATTAAGAGTGTAGTTTTCGCGCCGCAGTCCGAGACGTGCCACCATATTTGGGTAAAAATAAACGTTCTGCTGGTCAGTTACATGCGCTTACAGTTATGTTTTAATGCGATCTAGAGGGCGTGGGAGGATAGGCGCTCGATACGGTTATTGCCCCAAGAAGGTGCTGCACTCTGTACGAGAAACACGGGTTAATGTGTGTCACATGTGTGTTCGGATCGCCAGAGGGGTCACTTAAGGCTGCGAATAGATTATCTCTTTGGGTTACTGAAAACCGCGAGCGGTTATATAGGTAAGTCGGTAGTTTCCAATAACTCGATCACGCTGAAATTTATCGATATCCCGAATTTAACTAGCTTTTTCTCTAATTTCATATAGCTATTAGAGGTATAGAGGCCCTGCTTATGCCGGTAATACAGGAACTTCCGAAGCAGCTATGAAGAAAAACTTAAGAAAATCCATTCATATGGCCGCTGACAGATGTTCAGTAACTTTGGATTCAGCATTCTGGAAAAACAAGTCTGTTATATTTAAATTTATTATATATTTATTATACCTCACGAGTAGAATGCCCGACTGTATCAAGAACTGAAGATACTTTTAGATACTTACAATATTGACTTAAACGCGTAATTTTACTAATTTGAATTTTTTAGTACGAATTTAACGTCTAGAAATCAGATTCACTCTCGCAGCCTAAGAACCTGTCGGTTGTAAACTACGATTGATTCCCTCAAATCTAGAATTTTTTATTTAACCCCAAAATAGGGGAGATTTTCTCCAATATACAAATTGAGTGCACAAAGTGATGAAAAAGTTAAACCCATTTTATTATAATAATAATGATAATAAAAACTAAACCTTTGTAACAATAATGAGTAAAAAATGAACCATTTTAAACGCCTAAATGGCTATAATTCAGCCCCCAATACATGAAGCTCCCTGTATTAGTTGCCGTTAAAGCCAAAAAAGCCTTTACAGAAATTCATTATTAAAGTAATTACAAATATTATTACAGTACGTACATAATTTAATTAGATGGAACAGTTAATATATAATAAGTATTATAATACGCTCTACTCCTAGTTTAACAACGTATATAAATATAAATAAATTTGCAATGGTGAGTGAATGGTTTCGGGGGGCGGGGGGGGGGGGGAGGACAAAGGACGAATTTTAGTGTACGAGTGGAACAAAGAAAATTAATAAATAAAAATACCATGTGTTGTAAAACACCTTACTGCTGACTAAATAGTTCCAGCGTTAATTTGTATTTAGACGTTGCAAGAGTAATTATTAATGCCAAATTTATTGATATATATAACAAAAACATGTTGCATGCAGGATGCGCCGATTAGGCCTATGTAGCCACATTATATCTTTGAGTTTAAGTATTTTATGCTCCCTTCGACGGATCCCAAATATAAGAAGCAAGCAGGAATTCTGAAGCTTTTTAATGCGTCATGTGTCAAAAGAATCCAAACAAGGACCATAAACATTGTCATAAAAATTAAAGGGTGTCAATATTATTTTTAGAGCAAAGTATCCTTAAGTTTTGAAGTTATATGTTCTTTAAATCGTAGTTTGTGGTCGAATATAAGACCAAGATTTTTTGCGGTTTTACAGTTCAATATTAAGATTGTGTGGTATATTGTTTCTAACATGTTCCCCACAAAACAGATTTGCAACGGAATTCAGTGGAATTGTTTTTAAAAGATGGTTCTTGACTAACTCGGAAAACACTAGATAAATCGTAGTTAATGCAATGTGTACTCAGTTTCAGTTGGTTTGAATTGAAAATATATTTGATTGTCGTCTGCATACATTTGGTAATCGCATTGTTTCAGAACTCTAGGAAATTGACATGTATAAATTGTGTACAACAGTGGTCCTAATATGCTACCCTGAGGCACACCAATAACGACATCAAAGTTATCTGAGACACACCCATCAACAACCATTCTCTGTGTTCTGTCCGATAGATAGAGGTTTGAGGCTTGTGAAATGAAGCCGATGTAATGTAAGATAGATAAGATAAAGAATTGTATAATTTACCATATCAAAAGCTTTTGTGAATCCAATCGTATTAGAGCACTGTTACTATCTAAGGTCTTGCAAATGTCGTCCGTTACATCAGAAAGAGCAGTAGGACAGCTGTTGTATAAAAGAAAATCAGATTGCTTTCCAGGATTTATTTTATTAACCCTGAAGAAGTTTTCAATTTGGATTGCCATATTTTTTGTTGAGAATCTGCCGCATTTAAGTTTTAAGTAGATTTAGTCTAAAGCACATTTTTGCACAAACCGCAGGAATATATGCACATTCACGGGAACCTCTGAAGCGGCCTTCTACAGTGGTTGATCAGTGCACAATACTGTATTTTAAAATAAGGAATAGAAAAAATAATGTATTCATTTTGGATTAATTGGCATACTTTGCTTTATAATTATCTAATAAAATTAGTTGAACAAGAAAATTTTTACTCGATTAGCGGTTTTCACTGTTAGCTGTAGGTTACAAATACTATATTTTTGTATTTTTGCCGTCAACCTTTCTACTTATAAAAACTGTTTAACCAACTCCCATGTTCTTGGATTTATAAAAAAAAATTGGGAAGCAGATTCGACATTTAAAAACAAGAGGCCTGAATTTAATCATCCAAAAATTATCTGCAACTTAATATGTTTAGTAGTTTCTCGAACATACAAATTTTGCATCGTACCATTACCCATTATTCACACTAGTCTTTATTTTAGTCAAATGAAATGTGTTTGTACACCTACACATCAAAAAAGAACCTATAACATTTTGTTTTTCTATCGTGCTCCTGCGGAGAATTATGGAACTTCCACAAAATCGATGTAATTTAATTATGCACCCTGTATAAAATGTCCTTCACATATCGTCGAACTTCAAAGTTACAGCAAACATCAACAAATATTAAAATTTGCACAAATAATAGCGTTGTCAAATGATATTTTTTCAAATATCTCGCGCCCCGTATAATTGACAAAACCTGAAACTCTCTCACGACACGATTTACGATACTGTTCAAATAAAATTATCCCATCTTTAACGGTTTTTCATTTATCGCCAATAATTTACCCACAAAAACGGAAATTTTTAGGATATGTTAAATTTTTTGCTCATAAATGACACACCCTGTATATGATTCAATCATTGTTCGAAGTAGAGGTTATAGCCCTAAATTTTCCACGTTTCCTGGTTCAAGAATTTTTTGAAAACAGTAAATGGTTTTCGAGAAAATCAGTTTTTTCTGAAACCATGCAGTGCCCCGTAAAAATCAATTACGTCATCGCGTCTTGACAGTCTTCGAAATAACGATTTCAATATGGATTTTTTCAAATATCCCGAGCAGTGTATGAAAACCGCAAATACAAAAATTGTAGCTTTTGATCCGGGCTATGACACTGTTTGAACCAATTGGCCATATTTTTTAGGATTTTCGATTTGCAGCAAATAATTTACTCTGTAAAAAACAATTTTCTAGGTCTTTCAGATTTTTGCCTATTATTTGAAAATAATTGAAAAAATGCCCGAAATCAATGTTATTGCACTGGACCTTCTGCGTCTGCCGGTTAAAGAATTTTGCCAATCGGATGAACGATTATGGAGGAAAACATCTTTCTGGAAGCTAAAATTACCACAAAAAAAAATCAAACATTTTTAAAAAATATTTGGTAAAATTTGATTGCGCCGAATTTCTACCGTTTAAATGTGGACACGGACTTTTAATTCTCTGCTAAATTTGAAGTTGATACATGCATATTTAGAACACTTAATACATTTCTCATTTAGCACGGAATATCAGGAACACCCCGTACAATAGGTGCGGGCTTTATCGCAATATAAAAGAACGTGATATCTGAACCAATTTTCAATAATAGGGGAACCATTTTTCAATTTTTGTTTTAATTTGCGGCGCACACTATATATTTTTGAAAAATTGTCAAGAATAAAAGTTTATAGGGCCGTATCTTCTGCTTCTTCTGGTTCAACAATTTTTTTGGTCGCGTAAACAGTTTTTGAACAATGATGTTTTTTGTAGACCCTTGCAGACGCGATTTTTTATTTTTTTTAGAATACTTCCCGACCCCCCCGCTCCTCCCACTCTTATTTTCAATATTTTCATCACGGGGCAAAGCTGCATATATGTGCCAAATTTGAAGTCGGTTGCTTTAAATTTCAGATACTTATCGTGTTTCATCGCAAGGTCCAAAAATCAGTCAAAAATCACCAAACAAGGTGGATACCGGCGACTGATCAAGGCCATTTCTTATAAGCTTATGTGCCTCTTGGTGGGTCAACAAGATGGCAGATTTTAATTTTGTAGCTCCAACGGTTCGAAAGTTATTCGGGAAAAAACAAAATACGAGAACGGAGAACGGACAAACAGACAAAAAAAAATTTTTTTCGATAGTGATTATTTCTGACCTACCGTTACCGAGATATAAAATTTTTATACGAGCGCAGATACTTTCGAAAAATTCGATTTCATCGATTTTAGAAAGTAACAAGAACAGTAATTTCGTATGTCACGAACAGAAAATTGACTAACATACATGCTACGCATCGTCAGCAAAATCACAGCCAACTAACTAACGAAAACCGACAGCCCAAGGGGGAAACCACTGCACATGGCGGACGTTTGTTCCTGTCCGGTTCCAATATAAAAATTGGTTCAAAATTGTGTCGTTCTATTTAAATTTTTGATTAGCATATCTGTTAATTGAATCGTCGAAGGCGTCGTACCTTTGTGCATCATTGTTCGGTTTATGAAGATGTCTGTTGGATCTCTATTGTGCATTGGTCGACTGAATGAATGTCTTATACTCACCACCAGAACCAGAAAAAGCATCCCAGGGGAATCTGTGGATTATTGTTTGCAATATATATTAAGCTGGCCAAAATTGTCTGGGTTGTAGGACCAAACAAGTAAAATAATAAAAAAGAGACGAAATTAGACGTTTCAGCGTAGCCAAATCGCTTTTCAGCAACCTGCCCAACGTCGAGCGCCTTACGTAACCGCGGCGTACATTAATTGCGTGCTCCTTTTTAAATATGTATCTCCCCGAGAACAAAAAAGCCACACACAGATTATCAATCCGATTGCACGGGAGGTAATTATATCAAAACGCCGTTCAAAATTACGCAAGTAATATGAATATTGATAAATTATTTAACGTAGAAAAAAAAATTGCGGACGGTGGTTGCTTTATGCAATAACTTATTGGGAATGGAATACGTCGTTTTTGTTTTAATTACCTTTTATAGGTTGCTACGCTACTAATGAGGGGACGTGATTCGGCTGATTTTTGGCCGATCGTTCTAATCATCTAATCAGTAATCGAATGGAAACTGGATGACGAAATGATTGACATTTCGTTGTTATTATAGAAGTGCTGTCTCGCTTCGTGACATTGTTCGTTAATCAGGAACCTGCTATAGTATTTTGACGGTAAGTTTAAAGTGACATCGTGTGGACAGAATTTTCCACGTTGCCTTATCATTCAACAAAATCAAGTTTTCCTGTGAAAGGTCTTTATTGCAAGGAGCCTTTGTTATATTTTTTATTACTTTCTTCTTCTTTACATGCCGTCTTCTAACGAAGGTTGGCGACCACACGTTTAAATGCTTATTTGTCCCTTTTTAACATACATTAGGTGTTCTACGTTTATATTCATTCAGTCTCGAACATTCCCGACTTCTTTTATCTACCACCCACTTTCGGTCATCAATTCTTCCTTTCATGATTGTATGTACTAATACGTAGTTTTCATTTCGAAGTAAGTGCTCCAGGTAAGATGTTTGTCAAACTTTAACTATGGTCATTTTGTTAATCTTTTGAGCTTTAAGTGTCCAAGCCTCTACCCGGTACAAGAATAACGACCAAAAAATTTAGTCTGATGGGCATGATTCAGTAAGCATCGTTGCATATTGCATGTACCCTTTTCTAGAAATATCAGTCCATAAGTTCTATAAGTTTTGCCTGTTGCATCTGATCGA